TTAGTCTCATTCGCTTGAATTCAGCCACATGAGGTGCTTCACGTTCAAAAGAAATCACGAAAACTTCAATTTTAGCCGCGGGTAGGATGACATGGAAACGCTATAATCCAACAGTCGCTTTGCACAAATATGCTTGACGAAACAGTAACTTGTACTCAAGAAAGGGAAACTGCAACGGATTTTTGTGAAGCTAGATACCGCATTCTTGATATGGTAGCGTATAACGAGAAAATTTTGCACACTGCATAGTGACATGCGCAACGCAGTGTAGAGGCGTGGCGAAACTGGCTTGGAACGTGAGCCCCAAACGCAATTGCAAGAACCCCATTTACCATTTTACCATTTTTGGAATCGCAACGACCTCTAGTCGGCCGAAAGTTCTGGATACTGTGGTGTCCGACAGCTATGACTCCTGGTCCCGTGCTACTTATTACACCCCACTTAAATCTCTGGGAGGTTATTTTTAAGTGGGGATGTCGACAAACGTCGAGATATGCGAGAGATCTCTCGCATATTTGGGAGCTGAACTGCCAGAACTTAGACCCGAGGCATCTCACTGTTCACTCTCTCGGGAAGTTCTCGATGATCCCTCCACTTGAGACACCCTTCTCACTACTTCCCAGTTGCGTCCTTCGTATATTATTGCTACCACGCCAAACACACAGAACAATGTCTCGTCATAACCCTAGGTAGTAGTAGTTGCGGCGTACTGTCCTGCCGTAGCCAAATTCCGAGCAGGTCTGCTTCTTGCCTCGTAGTGGTACCGATCATGGCGGAGGCGGTCGCGGTAGTGCGCGCGAAGAAGCAGACGGAGGCGAATGGCGAAAGAGATGTGGCGGTGCTATCGCGGTCGGAGAGTTTGCTGGACGACAAGTTTGATGCGTATGAGACGGCCAATTATCGCATGTGGGTTCGGTCCAAAACCGAGGCGTTTTCCAGGTGAGACGAGCATCATCCATGCTTTCGCCCTGTGAAAGTTACTAACTGTAGTACTGCGAACTGGTGAGCTGGAACTTGCGACGGCTTGTTACATAGAAAATGCAGCTTTCGTTAGTGCCACATTTTCCAATTGGCATTAAAAGCACGGGAGTTCCGTGCCAAGCTGCGGCTTTTCCCTTCGCTCCGCCCATTTCCAACTCTTCTTCCGCCCTCCGCCTCGCTTCAGGCGCAAGCCTTCGGGGTCTCGAGGCCACAAGAAGCACAACTTGGATTTCCTGAATAGCTATGGGTTCGCGCCGCAAAATGCGGAGCTCATGACACGTGTCGAAGAAAACTCGTCGTTCAATCAGGCCGCAGAGGGAGACGAGGAAGAGCAGGGTTACGGCGGCGACGGGGTCTTCAGGAGCTCGGAGAGCGAGGCGGCCGAGAGGTTGGCGGAGGAAGGGAGAGTTGGCGGAGAAGGTTCCAAGGCTGAGGGAGCGCGGAACAGCAGCGACAACAGCAGCGGCGGCAACTGCAGCAGCGGCAACAGCGGCAGCAGCGCAAGCAGCCACGGGAGTAGTGCGGAGGAGGAGAGGAGGCTGTGTGATTCGCTGCGGCATTGCGGCAAGGACAGGCGGGCGAGCACGCGCGACGAGAGCTGCGCGGATGGTGCGGAGGACGGAGAGGGGAAGGAGACCGCGGCAGGGGCTCTTTTGAAGCGCAGCTTGACGGCGGATGCAACGGGGAAGACCATGGCGCGGGGGGGTGCGCCTAGTAACGGCTTGGCGGAGAGCATGATGGCGGCGGGGGGCGAGAGCATGATGGCGGGCGCGGGCTTGCCGCGATCGGCGAGCGAGGTCACGCTGCAGGACGCGGAGGTGGACGAGATGGACAGAGAGGTGCTGCAAGGAGCGCCCAGGTTCACAGCGGTGCTAGAACTACTGGGCTGGGCTGGGCTGGGCTGTGGTCTGATGCACCGCCCTCTGTCGTTGCTCGCCCACCCTCACCGTCATCGCTGCTCGTAACCACCTCATCGTCCACGCGACCACGCCGCAGCTGCCTGCAAACACTCCCCCATTTCCTTGAAATCTTTCCCCTACTTATCCCCTCCTCCCTTCATCCCACCTTCCCCCTCAATGACCCCCCCCCCCCTTTCTCTCTCCCATGTCGGTGCGTGGCAGAGGCGTTCGTGCGCGTGGTGGCGCTGCAGCAGCGAGTGCAGCACTACCGTGACCTGGGCTTGTTCGTGGTGCTCATGGCGCTCTTCATCACCATCCTCTACCTCCAGGCCGACTCCTCCAGGAGCTATGAAATCACCGCCGCGCACTCCGTGCTCTTCCCCCCCGTATGCCCCCCCGTTTCCCCACTCCATGCTCTTCCCCCCCGTATGCTCCCCCCTTACCCCACTCCGTTCTCTTCCCCCTCGTATGCTCCCCGCTACCCCTCTCGTGCTCATCCTCGGTTGCTTCCCCCAAACCCTCCACACTCCCCCACGCATTCCTTCTCTCTATACCCGCCTGTATGCTCCCCACTTGGGGTGCCGCAGCCCTCATTGGTTCTTTCTAACGCATTCATTCAACCGCACTGTCATTATAGCGCGCATTCACTGGGGCGCGCATTGGGGAATCGTAGCATGGGTGCAGTGCAGTGATGATGCCAGTGGGGTCCTTGGCGTCAGTCAACCTGCATCCTGCTCACTCTCTGAGGGCCCTTGCTGTCGTACAGCCTTCTAACACATTCTTATGCGATCACTACTACTGCCGTGCCCTTGCTTAGCTCCCCCGAACCACACCACACCACACCACACCACACCACACCACACCACACCACACCACACCTCCTCTCAGTCGACTCCCCTCACCCTTGGCCCTAGTTGCACCTTCCCCCGCCCAAGAGCAGGGCATGCGTCAGGACGCCTCCAACACCTTCGCTGGACCGGATGATTTCTACAGCTGGCTCAACGCCACCATCGTGCAGGTGCGTCCCCTCCCTCCCCCCCTCGTGTCGCATCGCTCCTCATGCACCTGCTGCTGCTGCTGCTGCTGCTGCTGCTGCTGCTGCTGCTGCTGCTGCTGCTGCTGCTGCTGCTGCTGCTGCTGCTGCTGCTGCTGCTGCTGCTGCTGCTGCTGCTGCTGCTGCTGCTGCTGCTGCTGCTGCTGCTGCTGCTGCTGCTGCTGCTGCTGCTGCTGCTGCTGCTGCTGCTGCTTCTGCTGCTGCTGCTGCTGCTGCTGCTGCTGCTGCTGCTGCTGCTGCTGCTGCTGCTGCTGCTGCTGCTGCTGCTGCTGCTGCTGCTGCTGCTGCTGCTGCTGCTGCTGCTGCTGCTGCTGCTGCTGCTGCTGCTGCTGCTGCTGCTGCTGCTGCTGCTGCTGCTGCTGCTTTTGCTGCTGCTGCGTGTTGCCGCACATCCAATTCAAGCCTGCTTAGGCACCCACCCACTCTTCCCCACACGTCTCTCTAGCCTGCATTGCATAATATCCCACACACTTTTCCAACGCATTCGCAAGCCTGGATGACTTCTACAGCTGGCCCAACACCAGCATCGTGTACGTGTGTGTGTTCCCGCCCTCTCCCCGCCGTCTTTGACTCGAAGCTCCTGAAGCACTTAATGCATGTTTCTTCCCTACCCGCGCCGCCCACCCACGTGGCATCGTATCGGAGCCCGCCTTAAAGCCACATCGCACACACTCGTCGGCTCGTCGCTGCTCTCTGACCCGCCACTCTCTCCGCCACGCCACCGCTGCACTGCATGCAGAGCCTGTGGGCGGACCCCACATGTGGCGACGGCTCGTGCGACCGCCCTTTCCAGTTCCCCGCGTTTGGCCGCTTCGGCTGTGAAGCAGACTGCGGCATGTTCCCCAACCGCACCTCCGTCGTCGTCAGATTCTCCTCCCACCTCGACACGCAGCAGGCTATTGACGAATCTTCCTGGAACCTCTGCATGGTCAACCCGGTCTCCCTCTGCTGGTATGCGCATCCTTTCCTCTCCTCACACAGCAACCCTTGCTGCATGCATCTTCTGTCCTTCCGCCTCTCTCTGCCCTTCTTGCCATTCTCTCTTGTGTTCTCTGCTCATGCCACCACACTCCACCCCATCCCATCCCATCCCACCACACGGCCATGTGTGGTACGTACGGTACGTAATGCAGGTACGAGGCGTTTCAGGCGTTTCCGCGGGGCGAGGCGGAGGCATCAGTGGCTTTAAACATTCCGGACGGCGACTGGGTGGTGCTGCTCAACGCGCCCGCGGGGGGGGAGACTTTCCAGCCGACTCAGAAGTCACCTCAAAGTCACCCGATGTGCATGTGTGTGTGTGTGTGTGTGTGTGTGTGTGTGTGTGTGTGTGTGCGGGCTACGCAGGTACGAGGCATTTCAGCCGTTCCCCCGCGGCGAGGCGGAAACATCAGTAGCGTTGGACATTCCGGACGGCGACTGGGTGGTGCTGCTCAACGCGCCTGCGGGGGGCATCCGCGGCACCGTGCACGTGGCCCCTCCCGGCACGCGCCGCCTCTCCGTCGTCGGTGCCGCCTCCACCATTGAGCTCGCCTCTTGGGGGTCCTGCGCGCTTGATGATGGTGCTGTGGCAGCCAATCAGACAGAGCCAAGTGGCGGCGCTACTGTCGCTCCGTCTGACATCTGTCGTGATGTGAGTGAGCGTGTCGTTGCTCTATGTGCTACCGCGGTAGGACAAACTCACAAGTCGTCAGGCATTCTTTCACAGCTGAGTGTGTGCATGGCTTTATTTACATATTATCACAATCCCACCCACTGATGCATGCACGCATGCATGCATGTGCTCGTGACTGCGTGCAGACGTGTGCAAGGCTGGTGGCCTGCCTGCCAGCAACCTGTGGGCGAGAATTCACGGAGAGGGAGGTGGCAGGGGCGTTTGTGGACTGTGCGCGCATGTGCATCATCGCACCGTCCTCCATCACCACCTATGCCGCCTCTCCCTGCCCCATGGTGCGCTCCCTGCCCCATGATGCGCTCCCTGCCCCATGATGCGCTCCCTGCCCCATGATGCGCCCTTGCCCCATGATGCGCCCTTGCCCCATGGTGCGCCCTTGCCCCATGGTGCGCCCTTGCCCCATGGTGCGCCCTTGCCCCATGGTGCGCCCTTGCCCCATGGTGCGCCCTTGCCCCATGGTGCGCCCTTGCCCCATGGTGCGCCCTTGCCCCATGCTTCGCTCCCTGCCTCGTGCTCTGCTCCTGCCTCGTGCTCTGCTACCTGCCCCATGCTCCACTCCCTGTGCGTCGTGATTCCGATACTCTTCACTTCATACAACCATGCCTCTCCCTGCACCACGCTGCCTGCATCAACCCCTGCCCTTATTTCTCTCTTCCTCCTGCCCTCACAATCCCACCTGCGATGCCCCATCGCACACTCTCCCAGCCGGAGATTGCATCGGTGTTTTCCAACACCCCATGCAACGTTTCAGGTACGTACTGCCTGCACGTGCCAGTATGCCATGCTCCCCTTGCACTCTTGCCACATACCAGCCTCTTTCATATGCACTCCTCTCACTCATTGTACATGCCTGTCCACATGGTCTCTCCTTGTCTCTCCTTGCCTCTCCTCTCCTTGCCTCTCCTTGCCTCTCCTTGCCTCTCCTTATCTCTCCCTGCTCTGCTGATACGTTCTGTGCAACCAAGTTCCTCTCCTTTCCGTGCATGCCGCAACCCCCTTCACTCTCTGCGCCTCACTAATTCCATTCCATCCCAGGCTCAGACTCAACAGTTCATGTGTCTGCTGGCAACCGCCGCAAGGTGATCTCTCCAAAATTCTTTGTCAACCCTCGTCTGTTTCACCTGTTATCCCTCGCTCTCTGTGTTTCCTTTTTGTGAGTGCGGTTCCTGACTGCTCGCTGTCACTCTTCCCTCCTCACTTCTGCAGTCCCACCTCCAGTTCCTCCTGTAATCACCGTGCTGCACAATTTTCACTCACTAATCCACTCTTTAACAACCTCCCTTCCCCAACCAACGCCCCCAATTCCTGTTGCATGGCTGCTCTCTCAGGCGCTCTTCCGTTTCCACCACCCTCACAGCTATCAGCACCGGCCCTCATCTACTGCCCCTGGCCCGCATGTGATAAGTCGATTTTTGAGTCGACTCAAAAATGCCTCCCTTTCCCAACCAACTCCCCCAATCCCTGTTGCATGGCTGTTCTCTCAGGCGCTCTTCCGCTTCCACCACCCTCACAGCTATGCGCGCCGGCCCTCCTCTACTGCCCCTGGCCCACATGACACCACCTCCCAGCCCACTGCAGCAACAGTGCCCTGTCCTGCTGCCCCTGCTGTCGGCCTTCCTGGTGCGTCTGCCTCTTACGCTGCCGCAGCACTCGCAGCAGCGCACCCGCAAGAAGCACAGTGGTCTGAAGCAACACCAGCATCAGCACCACCATCCCCAGCAGCACCCATGCCAGCAGGCTCACCAACACCAGCAGCGACGACCGCGGAAGGAACAGCAGCCGCAACAGGCCCCTCAGAACCGTCCCTCTGGTCCCTCCTGGGTGCCACGGACCGGCAGCGACTGACAGTCCTGCAGGTGGCGGTGTCGCGCGCTCTCTTCACCATGGCAAAGGACCGCTGCCTTGCCGGCCGAGCACCGGGAGCAAGCAGGAAGCACGCGCAAGGAGGGCCGGGCAGTGTGCGCTGGAACATGGTGGCGTGCTTCTGCACCATTCTGGGGGGGCCGTCTGAGACGCTGGATGAGTGCCGGCTCACGGATGCAGCAGGAAAACCGGTGGTGGATATTCCGGACATGTATGTGTACCTGCGCAGCACGCACGTGAGGGGCGGGCGCGTGATCTCCTCGCAGCACATGAGGAGATTCGTGCAGACGATGGCGGCGGCGCTGCGGTCCGTGACGCTGATTTCAGACGCGGCGGCTGCGCGCCTCAACACGCTCATGCACTCGTTTGATGATGCCATTGTGACCTCCGATGCTGTCGGCTGCTCTCAAGGTGCGCATGGCATGTGGGAGTGGTGCTGGGTGCATGTGTGCATGGATGTTTACTTGTGTGTGCGTGAGATGCGCTGCACGCTTATGCACTCTTTCAATGATGCCATCGTCACCTCCGATGCTGTCGGCTGCTCGCAAGGTGCGCATGGCATGTGGACCTGGTGGTTTGTGCGTGCGCATGTGCGCGTGTCCGTGGATGTATGGGAGTATGTGCAAGGTGCATGTATGTGCCGGTGTATGCCCGCGTGTTACGGTCACTTTGCCATCTCACATGGATCGTATTTGACTGCTGCGGTTCCTCCTCCTGTTTCTGACTCTCGTCAGGCGGAGCATGGCTGCAGTGGCGGGCGGGTGTGAAGCACAACACGACCATCCATGTGGGCGACAAGGTCACATGGGTGTGGGATGACGACCTCCCGCACTCACTCAAAGGTACTCCTCTCTCCCACCTGCGTTAGTGTCACTAGTTCTTGTGTGCATCCGATGTTACGCCTTATGCAGAAGAATCCTGATCTATCTTGCTCCCATTCTACCTTGTGAACCGTTTTTTACTTGTTTGCCTGCATCACTTCATCCCCAATTCTTCATATCTCCAATGCCACCACCATCAGTGGCGGCGATGGGTGAGGAAGAGGACCCGCTGTTTCTAGGCTTTGGAGGGCATCGCTTGGTCGTGTCGCGCAAGCTGGCATGCACTCCCATGAATGTGGGCCAGTGGGACATTTCTGAAGAACCACAGCCATGCGTGCTCAGTGAGTGGGGGGGGGGTGGGGGTGGGGATGTGCTCACTTAGCGATGAGGTATGCTGGGCCAGCGGGAGTTTTTATAATAGCATGGCATCACATGATTGTATGAAGGCGTTCAACACATGGCTGTCCACATGCACACATGGCTGTCCACATGCACACATGGCAGCCCACATGCACACATGGCTGTCCACATGCACACATGGCTGTCCACATGCACACATGGCTGTCCACATGCACACATGGCTGTCCACATGCACACATGGCTGTCCACATGCACACATGGCAGCCCACATGTGCCATCTCACCCTGCTGCTGCATCCTCACTCCCCATCTTTCCTCCCACTGTCCTTCCTCCACACCTTCCTAAACCTCCCCCAATTCGTCCAATCAGAGATGGATGACGAGCCCCCCAACTCCTTCTCGTACAGCAAGGTGTTTGACGAGCCAATCACGATCCACTACGAGGACGGCACTCTCTCTGTTGACGACTCCTCCTCCTCCTCAGCGTCCGCAACCTCTGCTGTGTCTCTTCTCACTGTGCTGCCTGCACCGACAGGAGCTGAGCTTGCTGGTGAGCTTCACATGCCGTAACGCATGCCATACACATGCCATACACATGCCATACCGCATGCTATACCACATGCTAGGGATGAGCACCGGGCGGGCCGAGGCCCGGCCCGGGTCGGGCTCACCCCCCCGGCCCGACCCGGGCCATAGAAGGAAACTCTTGGCCCGAGCCCGCCCTTAAGGCGGGCGGGCCGTGCCCGGCCCGACCCCGGGCTCTGCCGGCCCGGCCCGGATGCTGTCATAATCGCCCACAGGATGTATTTTTGGGCTGTATCTGCTGTGTTTTTGTGCTCCGATGCGGCCCGGCCCGGCCCGGCCCGTACATGGGCGGGCCAAAATCGGGCGGCTGCGGCCCGGCGGGCCGGGCCAGCCCGGCCCGCCCCGGGCCCACGTCGAAATTATGATGCCCGGCCCGGGGCATTTCCGGGCGGGCCCGACCCGGGCGAGCCCTGGCCCGCCCTCATGCTCATCCCTACCACATGCCATACCGCATGCCATACCACATGCCATACCACATGCCGTACCGCATGCCATACCGCATGCCATAGCACATGCCGTACCGCATGCCCTACCACATGCCATAGCACATGCCATACCACATGCCATACCACATGTTATGCCACATGCCATACCACATGCCATACCACATGCCATACCACATGCCATACCACATGCCATACCACATGCCATACCACATGCCATACCACATGCCATACCACAAACCTCAACCCATGCTAGCACATGCCATACTGCCCATACCGCACGCATGGCTTACCATGTGCCAATGTTGCATGCAATACCACGAGACATACCACATGCCATACCGCATGGCATGCTGCATGCCATGTCGCGTGCTATGCTGCATGCCATGTCGCGTGCTATGCTGCATGCCTCTGTTCATGCCATACTTCATGCCACTTGGCATTTCTGACTTCCTTCAACTGCCCTCTCCCCTTTCTTCATGTCTTCCTTCATTTCCCTTCACCATCCATTCATCTTCACCATCCATTAATCTTCTCTATCCATCCTGTGCATGTTATGCATGCATGGCAGACCTTGGGAACGCCACTGACAGCAGCACTCTCTCGGGCACCGCACGTGTCACTACCACCAACACCACCACGCCCTCCACCTCCTCCTCCGCCTCCTCCTCCTCCTCTTTGCCATCCTCCGCCACCGCCGCAGCGTACGAGTGCTCGCCGGGGTGCCGGCTACATCGCCTGGCGAACGGGGTGTGCGATGCGGCGTGCAACACGCCCGTGTGCGCCTTTGACGGTGGCGACTGCGCGTGTGTGGACCCGCTCTTTGGCCCCGGCATCTGCGCCTGCCCGCCCGGCCACACCCGCCGCGACGACGGCTGTTAGTCGTGCCTCTCCCCTCTCCTCTCAACCCGCCTCTCTGGCTCCCTTCCTATTCTCACTTCACTCGTACTGATACCCAGTTTGCGCTTTCTGCCAGTCAACTTCTTATCTTACCATCCCTGCTCTTCCTTCCTCACACACCACTCTCCCCTCCTCCGTCCCCGCCCTCCCCCTGTGGCCAGCATGCTGTCTATCCACGGTGGTGGGCACGAATCTCAACTTCCCCTTCTCACTGCAGCGCTACGGCCCCAACTACACCGAGAGCAACTTCGCCTTTGCGGCTGAGAGGGGCGTTGCTGTCAACCGCTTCGTGTCACGTCGCAACCGGTATTCCTCCGTGCCTCCCTGCCCCGCCATGCCTGCCCTGCCATGCCGCCACACTTGCACCCAACACCATCTTGCACTGCCGAGAGAGATACCACTGTCAATCGTGTCGTCTTGCATCAGCACCGGAGGGAAGGCAGGCTGTGCCCACCCTCGCGGTGTCACTTTGTTCTGCTAGCTTCTGTTTTCCCTTTATAGCCTCTGCGCCTCCACTCACCAGCACAATCAGCTTCCAACCCTCGTCTCCCATATCCCTCTGCCGATTGTTAGAAATATCCTTCTCTTGTAACATGCATTCATGCTATAAAGATCGGGTAGAGATAAACACCCAACCTTAGGTTGGGTGTATAGCTAGGGGTTAACCCTAAAATTGGGGTTGAGGCCCAACCTTTGGCCAAAATTATTGGACCCCAAAAGTTGGGTTGGGAACATTATTGGTTCCCCTCCAATAAAGTTGACCCAACTCAAGAGTGGTCAACATTATTGGAGGCCCTCCAATAATTCCCAACCCAACTTATTGGTGGACCTCCAATAATGTTGGTTCCCTCTCCTCCACTCTTCCCAACTATGTAAACCCAAGGCTCTTCTAGTCCAATCATCAATTTTTCTTCAAACCTTGTCTTTCACACCAATCGCCTTCACCCTTCCCTCCCTTTTTATGGCAGCTTGTTGATTGGCATGGTGCTGCAGCAGGATCGGTGGGGTGCGAAGCAGTGCAACGGATCGGGGTGAGTGGCTCTGGTAAATGGACCGTGAACTGCTGGGCTCTCATGATGCTCGCCTCATCCTCTCGCTGTAATTGCGACCACTGGTTGCTCTTCATATCCTCCTTTTCCACCTCTTCCCCACCAGCTGTTCCTCCTCTTTGCCACCAGCTGCCTCACCTCTTCCCCCACCCCACCAACCGTTCCTCCCCCCCCCCCCTCCCCCTTCCCCTCCCCAGCCTGCTGCACCTGGCGGGGTGGTGCAGCAACGGCACGTCCACGGAGCCCTTTGGAGTGAACCCGCACTTCCTGCCCACATCGGCCATCTACGACAGCGCTGCCAGCGCCAACATGAGCCAGCTCGACAACAGCACCTTCGGCGTCAAGCTGCGCTTCAACCCGCAGGGCCTCCCCTACGGCTTCATCTACCCCGTGGTCAGACATTTCAAGCATTTGACCTCTGCATGATTTGCTTTTGCAAACGTTTGCCATACTCTGTGCAACTGGTGTAAGGACTGGCTGAATGGTCCTTCATCGCATGAATGTTGAGCTGGAATGGCCCGCAACATGGACCGGATCGGACCAAGTTGAATTCAATCTCCAATGGTGGGTGCATTTTGTGCGTAACACCCATTCATCGAGGCTACTCCTGCACGAAGATATAGATGTACGAACAAAAGCGTGAAATATGAGAGGAATAATTTTGTTTGTGACTGTGATTGCTTTGCAGGACTCCCTCACAACCCTCCCCCTGGTGTTTGATATCAATCTTGACTACGAGGCAGCCATGCGCCGTCTACACTACCTGGTGGATGGGAGCTATATTAACAATGGCACTCGCAGCGTGGACGTTAGCTTCATCACCTTCAACGGTACTTGCTTTGCTTCTCACCACCAAAGGTGAAATTCAGCTGTACCTGAAATTTCACTCTGCCTTGTCCCAGATGCACGTCTCTTTCTTTCCGACTTTTAGCGGCATTCGCTGCTTAGTCCTGTTCGCGTCTCCCATGTCTTGTGCGCCCACAAACTTCACCCCACGTCGGCAGGCGAAACACTCACGTTCGTGCTGACCACAGTAACCTGCACGTTGAACGCTGGAGGCAGCATGGCGGTGACCATAAAGTCACAGCCGGCAGCCATGGCCATGCACGATGCATCGGCAGACAACATGGCACGGCTGGTGCTGGAGGTGGTGTATCTCGTGGGGCTGCTGTGGAACGTGTGTGGCGAGCTGCAGGAGATGGCCGATCGCGCTGCCGTTGATGGCTCTGTGCTGGGCTACTTTGGGCTCGTGTGGAACTGGGTTGACATGCTCTCCCTCGCACTGCAACTGACTGCGGTTGTTATCTGGTAAGCAACCAGCCAAGCTGCATGAGGGCGGGGTGGACCTTGCCGTGCTATTCATCCGGAGTTGATCATCTCATCTGAAGCCATGCTTACGGTTGCTTCCTCACTGCTCATCCATCCCACCCACACGCCCTACTTCTCTCACTCTCCTCATGCGCGCGCGCGCGTGTGTGGGTGTGTGGGTGAGGGCAGGGTGGTGCTGTGGCGGTACGTGGAATCATTCGACATGCAGCCACGATGCAACATCTACTATACGCTACTGGAGATGCCGCGCTACTCTCAAGTCGAATCACACGCCCCTTCCTCCTCCCTACCACCCCCGTTGTGGCATGTGTGTGTGCAGGGTGGTGCTGTGGAGGCACGTGGACGCATTCGACATGCAGCCACGATGCAACATCTACTATACGCTACTGGAGATGCCGCGCTACTCTCAAGTCGACTCACACGCCCCTTCCTCCTCCCTACCACCCCCGTTGTGGCATGTGTGTGTGCAGGGTGGTGCTGTGGAGGTACGTGGAATCATTTGACATGCAGCCGCGCTACGACATATACTACACGCTGCTCGAGATGCCGGGCTACTCTCGAGTCGACTAAGATGCCCCTTCCTCCTCCCTATCACCCCCGTCGTGGCATTTGTGTGTGCAGGGTGGTGCTGTGGAGGTACGTGGACGCATTCGACATGCAGCCGCGCTACGACATCTACTACACGCTGCTGGAGATGCCGCGCTACTGGGCCGTGCCCAACCCGCCCACGGGTTTCATCAGCGCCACGCAGGCCTTTGCTGAGCTGCGCAACATCATCAACCTCCGCGCCGTCTACTTCTCCCTCCAGGGCATCAAGTGAGCCGCCTTGCCTTTCAGGGCATCAAGTGAGCCGCCTTGCCTTTCAAGGCATCAAGTGAGCCGCCTTTCCCTCACCATACATGTGTGTGTGTGTGTGTGTGTGTGTGCGCACGCGCGCGTGTGCGTGCGTGCGTGCGTGCGTGCGCGCGTGCGCGCGCGTGTGTGTGTGTGTACGCGCGTGCGCGCGCACGTGTGTGTGTATGTGTGCGTGTGTCAATTCTCGTTTGCTCATAGCTAGTTGGCATCATAGGTTGACGATCCTCTTCAAATCACCGCACTTTACTCCCTAGATTTTTCTCCCTTACCCACCTCCTCCTTTCTGCCCGCTAAATGCCCTTGGCTGCCCCCTCCCTATGCGTCTCCAGTGTATTCTTCATGATGATTCGCCTGCTCAAGGTCATGGACTTCCAGCCTCTGACCGCACTCTGATTTCTGCCCCCCTCATTCTCTTCCTTGCTCCCTGTTTTCCCCCACTCCAGTGTGTTCTTCATGATGGTTCGTCTGCTCAAGGTCATGGACTTCCAGCCCTACCTGGGGGTCATCACGCGCTCCCTCAGCCTCGCCACGCCCTCGCTGCTGCACTTCTTCCTGCTCTCCTTTGCGGTCTTCTTCTGCTTCAGCATGTACGGCTACCTCGTCTTTGGAGGCGCTCTCGAAATGGTATGTGCCTAGCTTGTATTTTACCTTACATATAGACTGGATGTGTCACTCCTTGTGCTTGAGCAAGGCTCTATGTTAAAGTTTACCATGGCTCTCTTCCCAATTGCCAGCCTTGCCTTTGCTTTCTTTCTTTCTTCCTTGTTGTCTTCCTTTTGTTTTTCTTCTCTCTGACACGTCTTATAACCCAGCTATCCCCCCCTCTCCCACCCCCCCACCCCCACCCGATGCAGTTCTCTACAGTGCTAGAGTCCATGTTCTCATGCTTCCTCCTCCTCCTCAACGACAACTCCTCCGCCTACTTCTTCCAGCGCCTCCACTCCTGGGACCTCATAGCCGCGATGCTCTTCTTCTTCATGTTCATTGTCTTCATGGTCTTCATCCTCCTCAACTTCCTCATCGCGATCATCGTTGACGCCTTCATGAGCGTCAAGGACAGCAACATCGTCGCCACTTCTATAACCTCTGACCTAGGACACATCATCAAGTACAAGTGGAACTGCTGGCGTGGCCGTTACTTGCGGTATCCCGTCATTCTCGACCGCCTTGTGGAGTTGGGAGCTAAGGACAGCCGAGTGGAAGAGGTGAGATATGGGCACCCGAGTGGAAGAGGTGAGATATGGGCACCCGAGTGGAAGAGGTGAGATATGGGCACCCGAGTGGAAGAGGTGAGATATGGGCACCCGAGTGGAAGAGGTGAGATATGGGCACCCGAGTGGAAGAGGTGAGATATGGGCACCCGAGTGGAAGAGGTGAGATATGGGCACCCGAGTGGAAGAGGTGAGATATGGGCACCCGAGTGGAAGAGGTGAGATATGGGCACCCGAGTGGAAGAGGTGAGATATGGGCACCCGAGTGGAAGAGGTGAGATATGGGCACCCGAGTGGAAGAGGTGAGATATGGGCACCCGAGTGGAAGAGGTGAGATATGGGCACCCGAGTGGAAGAGGTGAGATATGGGCACCCGAGTGGAAGAGGTGAGATATGGGCACCCGAGTGGAAGAGGTGAGATATGGGCACCCGAGTGGAAGAGGTGAGATATGGGCACCCGAGTGGAAGAGGTGAGATATGGGCACCCGAGTGGAAGAGGTGAGATATGGGCACCCGAGTGGAAGAGGTGAGATATGGGCACCCGAGTGGAAGAGGTGAGATATGGGCACCCGAGTGGAAGAGGTGAGATATGGGCACCCGAGTGGAAGAGGTGAGATATGGGCACCCGAGTGGAAGAGGTGAGATATGGGCACCCGAGTGGAAGAGGTGAGATATGGGCACCCGAGTGGAAGAGGTGAGATATGGGCACCCGAGTGGAAGAGGTGAGATATGGGCACCCGAGTGGAAGAGGTGAGATATGGGCACCCGAGTGGAAGAGGTGAGATATGGGCACCCGAGTGGAAGAGGTGAGATATGGGCACCCGAGTGGAAGAGGTGAGATATGGGCACCCGAGTGGAAGAGGTGAGATATGGGCACCCGAGTGGAAGAGGTGAGATATGGGCACCCGAGTGGAAGAGGTGAGATATGGGCACCCGAGTGGAAGAGGTGAGATATGGGCACCCGAGTGGAAGAGGTGAGATATGGGCACCCGAGTGGAAGAGGTGAGATATGGGCACCCGAGTGGAAGAGGTGAGATATGGGCACCCGAGTGGAAGAGGTGAGATATGGGCACCCGAGTGGAAGAGGTGAGATATGGGCACCCGAGTGGAAGAGGTGAGATATGGGCACCCGAGTGGAAGAGGTGAGATATGGGCACCCGAGTGGAAGAGGTGAGATATGGGCACCCGAGTGGAAGAGGTGAGATATGGGCACCCGAGTGGAAGAGGTGAGATATGGGCACCCGAGTGGAAGAGGTGAGATATGGGCACCCGAGTGGAAGAGGTGAGATATGGGCACCCGAGTGGAAGAGGTGAGATATGGGCACCCGAGTGGAAGAGGTGAGATATGGGCACCCGAGTGGAAGAGGTGAGATATGGGCACCCGAGTGGAAGAGGTGAGATATGGGCACCCGAGTGGAAGAGGTGAGATATGGGCACCCGAGTGGAAGAGGTGAGATATGGGCACCCGAGTGGAAGAGGTGAGATATGGGCACCCGAGTGGAAGAGGTGAGATATGGGCACCCGAGTGGAAGAGGTGAGATATGGGCACCCGAGTGGAAGAGGTGAGATATGGGCACCCGAGTGGAAGAGGTGAGATATGGGCACCCGAGTGGAAGAGGTGAGATATGGGCACCCGAGTGGAAGAGGTGAGATATGGGCACCCGAGTGGAAGAGGTGAGATATGGGCACCCGAGTGGAAGAGGTGAGATATGGGCACCCGAGTGGAAGAGGTGAGATATGGGCACCCGAGTGGAAGAGGTGAGATATGGGCACCCGAGTGGAAGAGGTGAGATATGGGCACCCGAGTGGAAGAGGTGAGATATGGGCACCCGAGTGGAAGAGGTGAGATATGGGCACCCGAGTGGAAGAGGTGAGATATGGGCACCCGAGTGGAAGAGGTGAGATATGGGCACCCGAGTGGAAGAGGTGAGATATGGGCACCCGAGTGGAAGAGGTGAGATATGGGCACCCGAGTGGAAGAGGTGAGATATGGGCACCCGAGTGGAAGAGGTGAGATATGGGCACCCGAGTGGAAGAGGTGAGATATGGGCACCCGAGTGGAAGAGGTGAGATATGGGCACCCGAGTGGAAGAGGTGAGATATGGGCACCCGAGTGGAAGAGGTGAGATATGGGCACCCGAGTGGAAGAGGTGAGATATGGGCACCCGAGTGGAAGAGGTGAGATATGGGCACCCGAGTGGAAGAGGTGAGATATGGGCACCCGAGTGGAAGAGGTGAGATATGGGCACCCGAGTGGAAGAGGTGAGATATGGGCACCCGAGTGGAAGAGGTGAGATATGGGCACCCGAGTGGAAGAGGTGAGATATGGGCACCCGAGTGGAAGAGGTGAGATATGGGCACCCGAGTGGAAGAGGTGAGATATGGGCACCCGAGTGGAAGAGGTGAGATATGGGCACCCGAGTGGAAGAGGTGAGATATGGGCACCCGAGTGGAAGAGGTGAGATATGGGCACCCGAGTGGAAGAGGTGAGATATGGGCACCCGAGTGGAAGAGGTGAGATATGGGCACCCGAGTGGAAGAGGTGAGATATGGGCACCCGAGTGGAAGAGGTGAGATATGGGCACCCGAGTGGAAGAGGTGAGATATGGGCACCCGAGTGGAAGAGGTGAGATATGGGCACCCGAGTGGAAGAGGTGAGATATGGGCACCCGAGTGGAAGAGGTGAGATATGGGCACCCGAGTGGAAGAGGTGAGATATGGGCACCCGAGTGGAAGAGGTGAGATATGGGCACCCGAGTGGAAGAGGTGAGATATGGGCACCCGAGTGGAAGAGGTGAGATATGGGCACCCGAGTGGAAGAGGTGAGATATGGGCACCCGAGTGGAAGAGGTGAGATATGGGCACCCGAGTGGAAGAGGTGAGATATGGGCACCCGAGTGGAAGAGGTGAGATATGGGCACCCGAGTGGAAGAGGTGAGATATGGGCACCCGAGTGGAAGAGGTGAGATATGGGCACCCGAGTGGAAGAGGTGAGATATGGGCACCCGAGTGGAAGAGGTGAGATATGGGCACCCGAGTGGAAGAGGTGAGATATGGGCACCCGAGTGGAAGAGGTGAGATATGGGCACCCGAGTGGAAGAGGTGAGATATGGGCACCCGAGTGGAAGAGGTGAGATATGGGCACCCGAGTGGAAGAGGTGAGATATGGGCACCCGAGTGGAAGAGGTGAGATATGGGCACCCGAGTGGAAGAGGTGAGATATGGGCACCCGAGTGGAAGAGGTGAGATATGGGCACCCGAGTGGAAGAGGTGAGATATGGGCACCCGAGTGGAAGAGGTGAGATATGGGCACCCGAGTGGAAGAGGTGAGATATGGGCACCCGAGTGGAAGAGGTGAGATATGGGCACCCGAGTGGAAGAGGTGAGATATGGGCACCCGAGTGGAAGAGGTGAGATATGGGCACCCGAGTGGAAGAGGTGAGATATGGGCACCCGAGTGGAAGAGGTGAGATATGGGCACCCGAGTGGAAGAGGTGAGATATGGGCACCCGAGTGGAAGAGGTGAGATATGGGCACCCGAGTGGAAGAGGTGAGATATGGGCACCCGAGTGGAAGAGGTGAGATATGGGCACCCGAGTGGAAGAGGTGAGATATGGGCACCCGAGTGGAAGAGGTGAGATATGGGCACCCGAGTGGAAGAGGTGAGATATGGGCACCCGAGTGGAAGAGGTGAGATATGGGCACCCGAGTGGAAGAGGTGAGATATGGGCACCCGAGTGGAAGAGGTGAGATA